ATGTAAAACATGTATAGTTTATGAATGTTGATTTAAGCATTCGTGAACATGTTATGAAGTGTTTATGTAAGGTGATATGAATGTGTCATGTAGACACCCTTCAAAGAAAGTGTTACCGTATTTTTCAGGGAGGTGATTTGTATAAAGAAGTTGGAGGCAGTTGCAGCACTTGTTAGACCTTTTATGGAAGCGATCACCCTATCAAATCAATCATGCTGACTGATTCACAGCTAGATTCATCTGCCAAATTTATGGTTTTCCAAACAAATTTGGCTAGTTTTACAAAGCAGTCTTCAGTGAAAATTATGAAAAACATAGACTTTGGGCTTACTTTAAAATCTGCAGCAGCCAAAAACATTTGATTGCAGCCAGTAAAAAATGAAAATGACTCATCTTACTGATTTGAATATCTGAAAACCTACAAGGTAGACCGACAGGTATAGTAGTAAAAGAAGGAGATTGAGTGAGTGTCACATTTGATGTCAAATCATTAATATATTGACTTACATCCACTGACAATTCTAAACTTGAAGGCAGATAAACATGTGTGTAATGTTATAAAAAAGAAAGCTCAAAGTCATCACTAGCAACTAAAATCATGAATTAAAACTATTTTTAAAAGGAGAATCAGATTATCCAGAGTTTTAAAAAGGGAGAAATGGCACAAGTACAGAGGTAAGGAGAGGTTGAGAGAGAGAGAGAGGAATATATGCAGACAAGTAAACATTAACTAGCTAGCTAGTGCATATGGTAAAAAAGGAGAAAAAACCTTTTAAATGTAGCCCCATGTAGAGGTTTAAGAATAGGTGTAACACTCTTTCTTGTGCATTTACGACTTCTAACAGCAGCAGCGGTAACACTTTACAATACTGTTTCGCAGTTAATAAGTAACTAATCAGCAACTAAGCAGGAATGAATGAGTAGTTCTGCACTAACGCTTAAGTAACTACTCTTAACTACCAGGGACTACTAGTTAACTACTTAGTAGGTAATAGTGAACTAATGATTAGGGTAATTCACTATTAACTAAACAATAACTACTGAGTCTCATAGAGAATTACTTAGTAACTATGGTTTCTTAGAATAACTACTATGTAATCACTGTCTGTCAGATAATGATTGAGGTGTTGCTGTTCTTCATTAGGAGCTAATGATGATCAGGAACAATATAAAACGAAACAATGGTAACTTATTATTAATGAACTAGGAGTTAATGATGATCAGGAACAGTATTATAACGTGAAACGTAAAACATACATTGTACAAGAAGACTGTACCTACTTAGCTCAGATTAGTGAGCAAGTAAGCTAACTGTGTCTCTACGTTAGTGCTACAGTCTGAATAAAACCTTGAATCAGAATTAAAAGTCTCACATTAGTGGCCCGGGGGTCTGTCATGAGTCTGATTCACATGAGGAGATACAGCAAGTCAGAATTAAAATATGAACAGAATTATCAAACTAATCCACTGAGAATGCAGTATTAACTGCTCTCCTTTACCAGCATTTGCAAAAACCTCATGGGCACTCAACAGAAACACCAAAGCTATTAAAATAAGAGTCCTGTGACACTCTACTGTTAAATGTAAGTTTATTTAATTCAATCGAAGAATGTTCAGTAGAAGAATGTTTCTTATTTTAAATGTCTACTACTACTACTACAAAAAAACAAGAAACAACAGGAGTGGTGAGACCAAGACAAGACTGAGACTGAGACAAGATTTTTCAGAATTTAAAAATGAAAAGAAAGAGAAATAAACACCAAAACCACTAAAAATGTTCCTTATTATTCATTATACATTATATATAGATGAATATTATATTTATAACATATTTTGTAAAACTAAACACTAAATAATATATAGACTGAAAATATTGTGAAATGTTATTGTAATATTAGTGTTTCTGTCGAGCGCCCATGAGGCTTTTGCAAGTGCTGGTAAAGGAGAGCAGTTAATCCTGCGTTCTCAGAGGATTAGTTTGATAATTCTGTTCATATTTTAATTCTGACTCACTGTATCTCCTTATGTATGATGAGTGGATCAGACTCATGGCAGACCCCCGGGCCGCTAATGTGAGGCTTTTGATTCAGATTCAAGGTTTTATTCAGATTGCAGCACTAACGTAGAGACACAGTTAGCTGACTTGCTAACTAATCTGAACTAAGTAGGTAGTGTTCTTGTACAATGTCTGTTTTACCGTGTTGTTTCAGAATTATAAGCACGTTAGTGCTTTATTAAACCTAAAGCTGCTGCTCATGTTCTGTTATGAGTGCATGCTATCTAGATAGAGCTAAGCTCATAGGCAGTAAAACTTTGTGTGAAACAGAAATATGTGTAACTAATGTACTAGCAGAACATACTGTGATCAGTCTCAGCTCTCAGACTTTCTCCTACAATAGGAATGACAGATTTTATTTCATTTTGTTTGGGTGTATTATTTTCAGTGATTTAGCTAGCTAACTCAGGGATGTTTTCACATTTGGACTGTTCACAAATAAAAAAAGGACTCAATAAACAACTCATTTACTCTTACTTTTTTCAAAATTTCCTTATTAATACTTTTTGTACTACAGTGCATCATTTCTTTAGGGGTTTTTATTTCTATTATAGTTCAGTTTATGATACTGTTCCTGATCATGATTAACTCCTAGTTCATTAATAGTGAGTTACCATGTGTTTCACTTTATAATTCTGTTCCTGATCATGATTAACTCCTAGTTCATTAATAGTGAATTACCATGTGTTTTAATTTATAATACTGTTCCTGATCATGATTAATTCCTGGTTCATTAATAGTGAGTTACCATGTGCCGCACTTTATAATACTGTTGCCTATCATCATTAACTCAAAGTTAATAAATAGTGAGTTACTATATGTTTCACTATATAATACTGTTCCTAATCATCATTAACTCCTAGCTCATTAGTAATGAGTTACCATGTGTTTCACTTTATACTGTTCCTGATCATCATTAACTCCTAGTACATTAATAATAAGTTACCATTGTTTCATTTTACATTGGTCCTGAACATCATTAGCTCCTAATGAAAACGAGCAACACCTCATTCATTATCTGACTGACAGTAATTGCATGCTTTTCTAAAGATGAGAGGTAAGCAGACTCGTCTACTGAATGCTGAAATATTTAGCAATTGTCCCATTTGTAGGCTGTGCAAATTGGTTCACACTGCCAAATATGAAGATGTACATTAGCCTTTTAAGGTTTCTGATCAAAACAAACACATGAGGGACACCAGTCAGTACAAGGTGGTTTAATGCCCCCAGCCTTCTCTGAGGATACCTGTTTCTGTGAATAGAAATGGAGGGTATAGAAATGGACGGTATAATCAATTATATTGTAGAGACTGCACATTGTGTAGTGTATTTCACTGCACAGTGTTGGAATACACAACATCAGTTAGCAGTTCGCCAGAAACCTTGTCAGATTCAGATATTGAGCAATTAATGTTGAATTGATCTGTAATTTATGAGTAGTTATTCTAAGAAACCATAGTTACTAAGTAATTCTCTATGAGACTCAGTAGTTATTGTTTAGTTAATAGTGAACTACCCTAATCATTAGTTCACTATTACCTATTGAGTTGTTAACTAGTAGTCATTGGTAGTTAAGAGTAGTTACTTAAATGTTAATGCAGAACTACTCATTCGTTCCTGCTTAGTTCCTGATTAGTTACTTATTACCTACAAAACAGTATTGTAAAGTGTTACTGCAGCATGTGTAGCAAAAACCTCTGCTCAAGAAAACGTAAAGTTACTTTGGTGAAATTACAATTTCAGTAGATGCAAAAGTCTTCATTCTAAGAACATTTGTACTGCACCAGGCAACTGTGCACTCAGATAGCTTTTTGTGTTTCACAGTTTAATGAATGACATCTGGTGTCCTTGTTTAAACTTAAAAAAAAGTTCATAATAATAATTCAAGTAGGATGGAAGGTAATAATTGTTACTTGTTAGCTGGCCTGCTAATGTCAATCAATCACTTGTGACCAAGGTTTGAATTGTGATGGTTCAACTGTTTTGTAAACATAAATTGCTGGTGTTTATTAAAACAAGGTTTGTAATAAAAATAGCTGTACTTGATAGAGAACTAGGTTTATTTACAACGATCAGTCAAACGTAATGTTAGAAACATTATGCTTCAGCAAAAAGAGAAGTGAATAAGGAGAAGTGTGTGGACAAGGAGTGGAGAACTTGGGCCTAAGGACAGAAAACTTTATGTGGAAAAATAGCAGGAGAAAGTGTAAGGGCCTAAGGACAGAAAATTTTAGAAGAATAGAATAACAGGAGGATGTCTTTTCAGACGCTGAATATGAAATGTCATTAAGTAGGGAGACTAAGGTCAAGTCAAGCTTTTTTCAGATCTGGACTGAAAAAATAGAACAGAAAAAATACTTAACCCTTATGTGGTGTTCGTGGTTGTGGGACCCATTTTCAATGTTTACCAAATGCGATTTATTATTATTTCAACCCCAAATTCTTTGGCCTTTGCTCATATTCTGTTAAGAACAATTAAGTTAAAATAACACATTTTCAATGACTTCACACTGTACACCCCCTGTCACATGTGATGTTGGGGTGAATCCGCAGGGAAGAAAAGTGTGGAGGTGCTGTGTCCCTTCACTCTGTTCTACTCCTACATGGCCTGCTGTTAGTGTGTTTGTGTCTGTGTGTGTATGTGTTTGTATATGTGTGCGTGTGTATGAGGGTGGACAACATGGACAGGCTGCTGACTGGCTACAGCTGCTAAAGGAGAACCCTATGCTGACCACTTGTGATATTTTAAACAACTGGCATTTTTACATAAATTGTTATGGCTGTGTTGATTCAAAAAACAATAATGCGGTGGGTCCACCAGACCCACTGAGTAACAAAAACATGAACACCACATAAGGGTTAAACTGAACACCTGGCCATTTCCACCACTGACAATAGGCTAACATTAACATACTACTAAAGAGCATTATTGGTTGCATCACTCAAGGGTTACAAATATATTTGTGATTTATATTGGTTGTGAACAATGTGTTGAAATCTGAGAAAAACAATATGGACATTTTTTTCATCTCCACAAGGTTTACATTAAAGGTAAGGATTTAGTTTCAGATAACACCTAGTACTATTTCATGTGATTGTCCATGAATCTTTGTATAGGACAATCTTAAGAATTTGAAGATGTTATGTTAGCCATGGAACACATGAAGCTGTTTAAAAAGATTTCAGGGCTCAACCTGTCAAGAAGCTGACTTTAGCTTAGATACATCTTGGTTGGTATCTGTCGTGGTTTTCTATATGAATGACTCAGACGTGTTTGATGCTGCTATATACAGGTTTATTTAACAGAAATTGAAAGACTGGTGCTGCTACATAGTCATATTGTATAACCACAGCAGAATCCAGCAGATTTACTCTTCTTTGGCCTGGGGAAGAGAGAAAGCATTTGTTAACTCTGATGTTTTGCTTCTTATGTAGCAACATATATTTGATAAGTATGTGCTGGAGAATTAAATAGTTCTGTGTGCTTTGTTGAATTAATTGCTTTCTTTACTGACCTTTCCAGCATCACGGCTCTTGGCTCTGAGCTTGTTGACCTGAGACTCAGCAATGTCAGCGCGCTCCTCAGCCTCCTCCAGGTCATGCTGCACCTTCCTGAGCTTGGACAGGTGGACATTGGCTTGTTCCTCCTAAATGTGCAATTATAGAATGTTTGCAATGTTATTATGATATTTTTTGAAGTGATACTCTAAATGATTTACCAAAGCCATTACGTCCTGTTCTAACATGCTTGACCCACCGCTTCCTCAGCTTGTCTCTTGTAAGCTTTGACCTTCAGCTGCAGCTTGTCAACCAGATCCTGTAGCCTGTTGATGTTCTTCTTGTCCTCCTCAGTCTACAAATCACATAATTATTTTATTTAATTTATATTTTGGTGTGAACATTACCATCATGTTTTGACATGGATGGAATTTATACATACCTGGTAGGTGAGTTCCTTCACTCTTCTCTCATATTTGCGGACACCCTTAACAGCATCAGCTCCCCTTCTCTGTTCAGCCTCAACTTCAGCCTCCAGCTCACGCACCTGGAAGAGTTCATACATGAAAAAATTATTAATGTACCCATAGGGAAACTTATATCAGTGGCAATGATTCCAGTGGAAATGGCCCCCTCTTTGAATTTCAGATACGGTAGCTGAGCGTTCAGTGAACATTAGCTTTCGAGTATGACTTACCCTGGACTCCAATTTCTGGAGTTGTTTCTTTCCTCCTTTCATGGCCAGATTCTCAGCCTCATCTAGGCGGTGCTGCAGGTCCTTGACTGTGACCTCAAGGTTCTTCTTCATCCTCTCCAGGTGAGCGCTGGTGTCCTGCTCCTTTTTGAGCTCTTCTGCCATCATGGCAGCCTGAGAAGGCAAACAAATTTTTGAGATCTACGTTTTGGAGTACATCATCAAACTAATAAAACTAAAGACCAATTAACCCCTTAAAAACCCTTTTATTATTCAGTAACTACAGGGCCTTCAATGCAGACTGGCTGAGCTATTCTTAGGTGATAGACATAGTGCAATAAAACTTTGGGCTAACTGGAGGGCTCTGACTTGTTATAGGGGGTTACATGAAGTCAAGCACTCACATCAGTGATTGCTTTCTTGGCCTTCTCCTCTGCATTTCTTGCTTCCTGCACAGTGTCATCAACCTCACTTTGAATTTGAACAAGGTCAGCCTCAAGCTTCTTCTTGGTGTTCAGCAGACTTGTGTTCTGTGAGAAATAATATAAGTCATTACTAATGATCTTGATTAGATATGTTAATTTCTTAGTTTTATAAAAAGCCACAGTTTTTAGTACCTGAGAGTGCAGCAGTCCAACACGCTCAGTGGCATCCACCAGCTCTTGCTCGGCCACCTTGCGACCTCTCTCTGTCTGCTCCAGAGCAGCTCTGAGCTCTTCAGTCTCTGCCAACATCAGAGTGTTCCTGCGCTCCACCATGGCCACCTGTTCCTTCATGTCTTCTTGTCCTCTCAGAGCATCATCAAGGTGCAGTTGGGCATCCTATGTATCAGAAAACAATAGAATTTGCAGTGTTTATCAACATACTGCATTGAGTTCTACTGAGAACCCCATTCACATATATGAGTTCACCTTGGAAGCATACTATCAACTAAAACTACATTGTGACAAATCACCAAAAATAGCATATCTGCTATCATAGTGCATAGGACATTGCGTTTCAGACATGGGCCATGATAGTTTCTTGAAACCTATGTATTAAAGTAAAAATATGGACAGTTAGTGGATTATATAGGGCTCATCAAACAAAGGTTCCCTGAACTATGTCTGAAAAGGGCTTTTACCTTGAGTTGTCCCTGCACATTTCTCAGTTGTTTCTGAGCCTCGGCAGCCTGCCTATTGGCATGGCTCAGCTGAATCTCCATCTCATTGAGATCTCCCTCCATCTTCTTCTTAATCCTCAGAGCATCATTCCTGCTCCTGACCTCAGAGTCCAGAGTGCTTTGCATGGACTCAGTTACCCTCTGGCTGTTCCTCTTGATCTGCTCAATTTCCTCATCCTTCTCTGCAAGCTTCCTGTCAATCTCACTCTTGACCTGGTTGAGCTCAAGCTGGACACGAAGAATCTTGGACTCCTCATGTTCTAGAGTGCCCTGTAAGAGAATTATGCTCAGTTTTCATAGATAAAATGAAGATTCATTATTACATTTTCATTATTAAAAATGTTAACATAAGAACTGCACTGATTAAACTGCAGAATCTTATCATTCTATTTTACCTCAGCCTCTTCCAGGGCAGTCTGAATCTCTGCCTTCTCAGTCTCTACTGCCTTCTTGGCCTTCTCCAGCTCATGAATGCTCTTTCCAGTCTCACCAATCTGTTCAGTCAGGTCTGAGATCTCCTCTGCACCAATGGCAAAACACAGTGTAAACATTAATTAATCTAAGTTGAATACTAAATACACACACACACGTCATCTAAACCGCTTATCCTTCTGGGTCACGGTGGGGTGCTGGAGCCGATCCCAGCTGTTGCCAGTCCATTGCAGGGCGAATACTAAATATTTTAATTAATTAATTACTTTTAAATATCACCGCTGGGATAGGCTCCAGCGCCCCTCGCAACCCGGAAGGATAATCGGTTTAGAAAATGTGTGTGTGTCTGTGTGTGTGTGTGTGCGTATCACAGGAGCATTTTAACATACGTTGCAGATTCTTGTTTTCTCTCTTGAGGGTCTCCAGCTGGTCAAGAGCTTCCTCATAGGAGTTCTTCATCTTGAAGAGCTCAGTGCTGAGAGCACGAGCCTCCTTCTGGGCTCCCTCCAGCTCTGCCTGGCCTTCCTCATACTTCTGTTTCCATTCTGCCAGCACCTTTGGTAGATATGCAATCCTCATTTCATAAAGGCTAATGTTCAGGCAATATGAATAGGCTATGCATCACTAAATTACTCAGACAGTTTACCTTGTCAAAGTTCCTCTGCTTCTTGTCAAGGTTGGCAGCCAAGGCATTGGCTCTCTCCACATCAATCATGAGGTCCTCTACCTCACCCTGGAGTCTCTGCTTGGTCTTTTCCAAAGAGGCACACTTGGAGTTTACAGCCTCAATTTGTTCCTCAGCCTCCTGCAGACGCTGTGCCAACTTTTTCCTGTTAAAAATTACATTTCATTTCAGACTCGATTTTGTATTCATTTTAGTGTTGTGAATATCTAGTGTCAATCATGATAGCCTCCTTTGCCCCTACTTTGCCTCCTCAAGCTCCTCAGTGCGCTGGATGGCATCGGTTTCATATTTAGACCTCCACTGTGCAACCTCGCTGTTGGCCTTGGACATGGAACGTTGAAGCTCAGCCTTTGCTTCCTGCTCCTCTTCAAACTGCTCCCTGAGAAGGTCACAGTCATGACGGGCAGACTGCAAACCATGGGCCAGGGCGTTCTTTGCCTGTGAAGCACAAAGGACAATGTCTCTTTGAGCCATTAATTAATTTGAGATATCAGTTTTTGTCTTCTTTTTAATGAGGTATCATTTCATGATGTTGTTACCTTAACTTCCTCTTCAATCTGTCTCTTCAGTTCATCAATTTGTTGAGTGAAAGCCTGTTTGCCTCTGGTCAGCTGAGAAATCAAAGACTCCTTCTCTTCCAGCTGGCGTCCAAACTCACCTGCACAGCGTTGAAAATATATGATTTTCAGTTATTTTCATAAAAACTATAAACATTATATGTTACGTAGTAATCTGGGTATATAGAACTTCAAATTGAGTGACTATGGCAGGTATGGCAATAAATGCTAATGTACCATGACATGTATGTCACTGAATGTTCAGTTACCATTCTCAGTCTGGAGCCTGGCCTTCTGAGCACTGAGGTCATTGATTTGGCGCAGATTCTCATCATTTTTAGTCTTGATTTCACTGAGTTGATCCTCAAGGGTTCTGCACATTTTCTCAAGATTTGCCTGTCAATTCAAAAATTATTCCTATTTTAATGCCACTCTCAGAATATAACCATATGTGCTTTTTTTTTCAATTTTTACCCGGTTTTCTCCCCAATTTAGTCTTTGCCAATTCCACCCGCTAGTTAGGACTCCCCCAATCACACACGACGCTATCAACGCTAGGAGGGCGAGGCTAACACAGGCTTCCTCCGAGATCTGTGAAACCAGCCACCGCATCTTTTCGAACTGCCGCTCACGCAACGTCTTTGGACAGCCGAACGCGCTCGGAGGAAAGCGCCAACCGCCAGATCTGTTACGTCAGCTAACAGACGCCTGCGCTGACTAGCATCGCGCTTAGTGAGTGATGGGGGGAGAAAGGCAGCCATCCCTTACAATTGTGCTCTCTCGGACTCCCGGCTACGGATGGCTGTAGCATCACCAGGGATCGAACTCGCGATCTCCTGATGATAGGGCCAACGCTTAGACGGTTGCGCGACTCGGGAGCCCGTCATCTGTGCTTTTTACTGTTATTCATTCATTTAGTGGTTTTCAATGCTCAACACAGACCTTGGCTTTAGCAACAGCCTCCATGTTGCTGGAGAGGTCATCAATCTCCATTTTGTATTCACTCTTTTCTTTCTCAAGCTTCTGCTTGACACGCTGGAGGTTGTCGATTTGTTCTCCAAGCTCAGCCACGCTGTCTGCCTGCTTCTTGCGCAGGGCAGCAGCAGTTGCTTCATGCTGTAGGGTGGCCTCTTCAAGATCGCGACGCAGCTTCTGGAACTCAGCCTCACGCTTCTTGTTCATCTCAATCTGAGCAGCAGTTGCTCCTCCAGCCTCCTCAAGCCTCTCACTGATCTCCTCGAGTTCTCTGGAGAGATCAGCTCTCTGCTTCTCAACCTTGGCACGAGCAGCACGCTCAGCCTCAATCTCTTCCTCTAGCTCCTCTATACGGGCCTATAAAGCAACCCACAAATGTT